CCGTGGAATGAGCGGACAGATGTACTAGGTGACTGGCCGTTGATGACAGCTGTGGTGAGGTTAAAGCAAGACTGAATCAGGAGCCCATGACTCGCAGAGAGTAGACTGCGAGCAGTCTCTTTGGAGTCACAGTAGACCGAGAGAACGCGTGAGGGATGAGCGGCGAAGCCGCCAGCAACGAGGAAAGAAGGACGACCGCTTTTGGTCTAAGGAGCGAGCAACAGTTATACTAGGCCTATGACACGGCGCTTTCACGGTCGGTTTAATTTTAGATACATTTTCCAACACTTTCTTCCGCAAAAAGGGAATACTCCGTGACACGAATACATGGAGGTTGTTTCTCTGGGTCATGGTCTCCTGAGTGAACGCATCTGCCGAGACTAAAGAAGTGGCCTTTTAGGAAGTTGGACTGTAACTCCTTTTCTGTAACTCCGTCTCTTTTAAAATAAACTGGGGTGTAACCGCACTATACTTCACATGAGCCGCCGGCCAATATAGAGCCAATACAGCTATCGGTTCATGCCAAGTATGGAGTTTGACTACGGCTATGTTTGCCATTCAAGTGATAAATGGAAAATTAAAATGATGTGAATAAAAGGTTGCTGGCTGTTACTTATAACTGGGTCGCCTTGTAAAACTTCAAATGGCGTACGCACTAATGGGTTTTCAAAAACTTCCATTTCAGGTTTACTGAGACCGTTTACAAAAACGCGTCCACGCTCTTTAGCCATGCTAGCGTTTTCGCAACGTTTTCTATCATCCATACTTAGCCTTTGCATGTCTGGTAGCAGCGTCAGTTTCTTTTCCAGGTTTTTGTAGAATGTGTATATTGCTACCTCAATTGGCCCTAACGATACTCTTATTTTTTTCCCGCAATTTTCTGACAAGCGAATTTCGACTTATTTAATAAGAAAGATTATGGTAAAAAAGAAAACACGACCAGCAAAACAGACCGACAGAGATCATGATCCGTTTTTTAAGGTAACTATATGATAAAGTTACGAGTTCATTATGTGTGACACGATAAATGGAAATGAAAGCAAGTAATGGACCGAATCACTCATCCTCCTTTTTAAAATTTCGCAACTCAACCCTGTCCTAAACTTTGGCCTGCGCTTCACTCCATGTAAGACCCAACTCCTTATGACAAACTCTTTCATAACTGTTCTCGGCCATGTGGTTTTTGGCCCGCCTTTTTTTCTCTTCCCAGTTGGAGTCTATCTCGAAGATATCAAGGAAACTTTGGGTATCCTAGCTGTCACTGGGCCTTCCTTAAGACATGACCAGGCCATCGAAGCCTGCAGCGGTTCTTAATTTCAAAGGATATATTCAAACTGTCCAACGTCTTATACAGTTCCAAATCAGAGATCTCGTCAGGCTAGTAGATATTGCAGATTTTACAGGGGCAACTGTTATGACTGACATCAACCATTCTCACATCTCAAATACAGGATAGTTTTCACTTTTGGAAGAATTAGTCCCGTCAAATTTTTGATCGTTTTAGTGCTAACGCATGCAATGCCAAAAGAAAACGTAAAATTGTATGCGTCTTGAAATTTTAGGCATTAGTGAAGACGGGGTCAATAAGAATATGTACAAAAGTGGGCATGACAGAGAATTTTAAAGGCAAAGCTACTCTTTCATGCCCCTAATGCGTCACTGACCTTTTTACTCCTAATACGGGTAGGTGCCGTAGCTTTTGGACCACGTGACCCGAAACGCGTAGGCCGCGCGTGTCGCCTGGATTTATCTAGAAAACATACAAAATTTGGAGATAATTCATCCAGTTCGGCTTGCCAAATACGAAACTGTTCTTGCAGGAGACATTAGTTTAATGAAGCGAACATTCTGTAGAATGAGGTTAGAATTTGATTTCAACTTTTAAGCAGCACCCTAATATGAAGTTCCAGCGGCAAAGAACGCGCTTGCTAGGTATAGGGGAGCCGTGCACAGAGTTCCTTCTTCAGTCATTAATCGACTTATATGACTTTTTATACCATTACATAGAAAATACAGCCAATCAGAATACAAGGAAAGTCGTTATGATTCGACGGTATTACACCCAATCTTCCCATCGTGCGCTGCGATCTTATTCCAGCCGAAATTTTGTAAGAGAAAATTTTGTGTAAAAAAATTTGTATACACACGCGCCTAAAGGCGTATGTGTATGCTGAGAAAATACTACTAGACAGCGTTGCATAACTAGTATATATCTCGAACAAAAACTCTTTCAGCCTTTACATATTAAGTGGTTGCTTTGTATCACAAAAGCAACGATTAATAAAAGAATATTGACGACTCTAAAAAGTTGAAACCATGCTTTATATTAAAATAGCGACGTAAATGAATTTAAATATGCTTTCAAGGGAAAGATAATACAAATTTAATTTAATGCATGTGAAATTGGAATAACTGAAAAATTTACCATTTAAAATTCATGTTTGCTTAGGCAAAAGACGACTTTAACGCGTAAAGGCAATTACAGCTTTCTCCCCGTTTACTTAAACGAAGCGTTTAGATCCCGGAATTTTGTCCACGTTTCGTTTCGGGTTTATCGTCATATCTCGAGTTAGCGGGGAGTTCGAATTATCGGGGTTCTGCTATGTTAAGTTTTGTGTTCCCGAGAATATCGATCTGTCAATTATTCCGCTTATAAGTTCGAGATCACGATAGCTAGAAACATGGGCGGATTTAGGAGTTGGCCGAAGGGACCGCGGCCCCCCTTTTAATGTGAAATTTCATATTAAATATTTTTTTAAAGAATTTTCAGTAAAATAAAAAGTATCTAGTACATAGTATCCAGGCCGGCCACCCCTCTATGAATTTTCTGAATCCCCCCCTTAGAACTTCTAGATAAAAGCCGCAATTTGCAGTTAATAAGAGAGTGTGATAATCAGCCATTTCACGGATTATCCCTGTACTACGATATAGGACTGTTTATCAGTCTGAGAGCGCTTTCTGATAAACGTTTTTGAAAAGATATTTGACAACGTTTTTCTCTGAAGAAAGAGAAAAGAGTCAGTTGAAAATGACGGAGTGCCACCAAAACAAGGCTTTGCCCAATCATAAAAATCAACAGCAATAGAAAAAACAATTACAATAAACAACAACAACATAAGCAAAAAAAAACGACTAACGTTTTTTGGTCAGTTTACTCTTATTGAATGATAACAAATGCAAATTTTGGGGTGCCAGGCTAGACTTCGAAATAGTGTATTGATAATTGTATCGTTCGTTTGTTTGTTTAAGGTGGCTCGATACAGTTTTTCATGGTCAATACCTCCCACGTTTGAGCGTAAACTACGTCGCCATAAACAAAGATTTGGAAAAATTAACACCACAGTTGTATTAGATAAAGATGAAAATTTGTTATGATCAGAATTACAATGACATCGGAGTTGTCATAGCAACGAAATTACGCCATTACCTTTTTTACTTGCAGCAGTATTTCTCGGCACTGGGAACTGTTCTTCCAAAACCGTTTACTGGAGCTTTTTCCTACAACAGCCGCCTCGATGCTAGTGAACTTTAAGCGAAATCTGTAAGAGCGTTATCCAGATATTTTGGGAAAAAGTTTTTTATGGTTAGAAATACGGTAAAAAATTGACAATCTTGATGTTTGACTGTTATCTGTACTAAACGAAGCGCTTTTGACATGCAATTTCACCTCATAGTAGTATCAATCTTTTTAAAAACGTGTGTGAAAGATCATGGAGATACCTCCAGCCGATTGCTAGGAAGAAGGATTTGATTAGTATGTATCGGGGCTCTCTTGTTAGCGGTAATGTAAACATTTCGGTCTACTTTAACAAATTAGTGAATAATTTTTAAACCGCTCGATAAATTTTCTAAAACAATTAAGAGTGTTGAGATAAACCGTCCTTTTATATGACCTCTTAGTTTCAAGATTATTGATATATGGTAAAGTAGTAAAATAAGGGCTACAATTTGCTAATATTTTGTCAGAAATTTTGTCTTTACAAGTGAGAGCCTCTTGTTATTCAGGGGTTTTGTCTCAAAGTTTCATTTTCGCGCGAATAGCAGTACCTAACAATGCATTTGACATATGCAAAACTGCTAACTATTGTTATGCAAGAAAATATGAAACAATCCTCCTTTCTAGCAATCGGCTGGAGGTATCTCCATGATCTTTCACACACGTTTTTTAAAAAGATTGAAACTACTACCAGGTGAAATTACATGTCAAAAGCGCTTCGTTTAGTACAGATAACAGTCGAACATCAAGATTGTCAATTTTTTACCGTACCATAAAAACTTCATCCCAAAATATCTCGATAACGCTCTTACAGATTTCGCGTAAACGTCACTAACATCGAGACAGCTATCGTAGGTAAAAGCTCCAGTAAACGATTTTGGAAGAACAGTTCCCAGTGCCGAGAAATACTGCTGCAAGTAAAATAGGTAATGGCGTCATTTCGTTGCTATGACAACTCCGATGTCATTGTAACCCTGATCATAACCAATTTTCTTCTTTATCTAATACAACTGTGGTGTCAATTTTTCCAAATCTTTGTTTATGGCGATGTAGTTTACGCTCAAACTTGGGAGGTATTGACCTTGAAAAACTATAATCGAGCCAACTTAATAGATGATGAAGAAAAAGGTTTCTCGTGGGTTAAAAAAATTCGGCATTTCTTATTACTGAAAATGATCTTTTACAAATGACTGGGCTAATATGGGAATTACCACTATTTAAAGAAAATTTAAAAGATGTTAAGTGCACATATAAAAAAGCGAAAGACACTTAAAAAAGCTAAGAAATTAGCATTTTATTCCTGTTATTATTATAGCCAAAAAAACAAGCTGGACAAATGTTTTGCGATTCAAGCAATCGAACATGAGCACCGCTGTGCCGTTTTGTTTAAGGTAATGGACGATTAATTATTAGCCATCGTGTACTTTCAGAATCAAAAATCGCATCAAAATGCGGCAATAAGCAAACATTTCCTTCTTACCAAGAGTTAAGCGTAGTACTTTAGTTACAATTGACAAAAAAGATTTGCCGGTGAGCTTCGTGCTAAGACTTCACTGTCGTTTTCTTCTTCTGCCGAATCACTTTCTTCCGCTAGAGTTTGTAGCTTAGCTAAAAGTTTGTCGGGGACAACAGAAATTTTAGGTATCCCTCCCTCAGGATTCGATCCTACTCCCCCGTTATAAGTTGTACCGTTTTTCATGTCCACTTTGTCTTTATTTACGTTTAGCGCGACGACTTTTGTGATCTTGCTCATCACATTCATTGATCCTCTTCGAATTCTCGGCGACGGTGTAATCGTTTGTTGAGACAGTCTTCGGCCGCTTGCCCCGAAAGCTTGTGAACCTCGTCTTTGAAGTGCCTTGTTTGTGGTTGCCGTTGACACGGTTGCTATAGAGGCTCGTCGGAATGCGGCGTTTGTGGTGAAAGCTAGTTTTCCTGCCTTGTTGAGGCTGAAACGACGCGGCGATATTGCACAAGAAGTTGGCGAAGCTGCCAAAAGCGTAAGATCGCACATCTCATCGCCAATTTCGGTATCTTGCGACATGGTCTCGGAGGGACTAGCCAACGCTTCTCTGATAACAATTGGCCTAGGTTTGACTCCGCGACGGAACGCAGTCGAAACATGCCCTTCGTAAACACGGAATAGTTCTCTCAGGTTCTCACGATGGCTTTTCTCGCTAGTTTGATTCAATAAGTTTCCTGGAGCGGTGTTTGGCCTTTGAGAATGATTTTGTTTTGGCGAATGGTTATTAGGCGATCGTCTTCTCTTTGATTCCGAAGCTGAATCTACTGAGGTCCGCGACGGAAGTTGCATGACACGAAAAAGCGGTGATCGAGAGGCAGATCGAAGGCTTTCCTTCGTCCTTCCCCACTCATCAGCTGTTTTAAACTCCACGTAATCTCGGGCACTTTTTGATGCTTTGCCCTCTGAAACAAGGATTCGCGAGCAGAAGAAATTCCCTGATTTCGACGCCACTATCAAGGGTGTTTCACCTTTTTTATTGCAAATGTCCACGCTCAGTTTATACCGTTTTAATTTGCTCAGTAAAAGATTGAGAACGACAAAGTTTCCTGACATGGCAGCATAGTGCAGCGCTGTATTCCCCAGTTTATCTTGCGCGTTAAGATCAAAATCGCTTCCCTCTTCAAGCATGATCGAAACTAACTGTTCCTGTCCGAGTTTACAGGCGTGTGAAAGTGCAGTTAGTCCATCTTTGTCTTTTAAACCGATTTTTGCACCGCGCTTAACAAATATCTTGGCGTACTTTGCTGCTTTTGCCTCGTCTTCAAGGAAGCAAAGTTGCATGAGAGCCGTTCTCATTTCTGAGTCCCTTTTGTTAACATCAATTCCGATGTCTAAAAGCAGTTTTACTTGAGCAAACCGCTTTTCTCTGATGGCAACGTTAAGTGCCGACATTTTATCTCCGCCGCGAAGAAATTACAGTCATCGCTTCTGAGAAGCTTGGTAAATAAGATGACCAACGCGTTATAATTTAGCCTGCAGTAAAGCTTTCATGCAGCAGGTGTATTTAGTCTTCAACTTATTTTGCATTTTCCTTTTCCGTTCAAGGGATTGAGCAACTATTGTTTGCACTGACATCAAGAACAATGTTGGCATCTGCTGTTTCCATGACAACACCTACTAACATCGACACATCGACTAAATGAAATCGTCAAAGGTGTTATTAAATCGTTTGCCCTATTTGTACTCATTTATGACTCTTTTCACGCGTGTCATATATCTATCACATTAATAGATAAATTAATTTTTTTGGTCGACGTTATATCAGTAAATTAAAACCAAAGCATTTTTAAAAGAAATTGTATTTAAATTTAGTTTTTGGGATTAGGATTAGACACCAAAAGATGTATGAACACGTTCGGGAAAAAACATCTTCAACTCGTTCCTCTTTGCATGAAGCCGGGGCCTGGAGAGTACTATGATAAAAAAAGCGGAAATAATTATAAACTTCTATGGAAAAAAAGTATTCTTTTTTTAAGTTTTAATTTTAACATTATCTTTCAGATGGTTTTCAAATATAGGTTTATAATTGAGACAAGTTAAAAGCGTCGTATATAATTTTAGCGACAGCCACAGGGCTTTTCTTACTGGTGTTAAATCCCAAATTTGTCAACATAATCGACAATAACATGCAAATTTGTCACCGAGAACGTTGTTTTTGGTTTTGTAAGCGAACGACTGAATTCCCTTTTATGTCTTGTGTACTTTTTTTTTTCTTTTTCAATTTCTCTCGCTCGCTGCAAAAAAACTTCACAGACAATGCGATACGAAAAACTAGTAATGAGAGTGAAAAAAAGAAAAATAATGATCACACGAAAATTGTGTTTAATTCTAGAGGAGAACACTTGCGTTTGTTTTATGCAAGTTTATGACAAAGTAATAGGGAACTAAAGTAAACATTTTTCTTAAGTAAATATAAAAACCAATATAAATGTACACATATAAAAATTAAAATCTAATATATCCTTCCTATTACAAATTGTTATTTTAAATTTGTGCGGATGTATACTCACACGGCCTGTAGTTCAATCATTGTGAAGACAGATTTATAATACTGATCCTGCTTTTGAAGGTAATTTACACTTTAATTTCAGTAACACTTATGCCTTAATAATAGACAAGTTAGTATAAACTCTTAACTTCAGCCGGAAGAGAGAGTCCGTATTTGCGACTGTTAGAGTTCAGCACTAGAACACAGGCTATGCAAACTTGATCACGCCATGGTGGTCATCTAAATGGATCGATAACAAATAACATGAAAAGAAGTTGTATTTATTTTTGAACTCTTCTCGACTCTTCTCTGCACCATAACAGCGATAAACTGTGTATTTTTTTTGTTTTTTTACTTAGGTATCGCCAACCTATGAATAATGTCACTTGTTTCTAAGTTTGAAAAGTTTTCGATTAGTTCCAAATCGTATTTTGCGTTCTTTGCTGGTTATTTTATCATCTTTTGCCAACAGAATAGATGTAAATTCACTTTTTGCTGGCTAGTATAAAAGTAAAAAGGCCACGTCGCCAGCTTACTCATTTTCAGAATAATAAGAGGTCATGGGCTTTCCCGTGTGACATGCGGCTCTCGCGATCACCATCCAAATGAAGGGCTTGCTCACAGGCTGATTAGAAAGGAAACGTTTTCCTCTGATCGCACGCGACTTTTCTTCATCCGGTTGCATAAAACGCTGGCAAGGGAGCTTAAGCAATGAAGACGACGACGGTGGCAAAAACGTCTCTTAAAAAGTGAATTCGCGCTGTTTCAAAATTCATCGCTCTTCTTCCATAGCGTTCAATTTGTCAAATGTTAGTGACTTTTTCTGGAGTTGAATTCTAAAGGACTGTACGGTATCTAAGTTTAAAAAACGAATTAGAAAATAGTTGTCTTGTGTTACCTCATCTCCCTAGACCTATGGCTTTTTTGTCGTTCTCGCTGACTGGTCGTCGTCGTCGCAACGACAACAGGGAACTTAAGAGCCACGACTACGACTTTGTCGACGACGACCGGAAGTGAGATACCGTGCACTGCGCAAGCGCGATTAGCAAATTTCGTCATCGTGGTGTCGTCGACGACGCCAAACACAGTAGAATCACGTCGTCCTGCAATCCACAAGCTTTGGCAGGTATAACTCCTTGTTTTTAAGCGATTTTTCAAGGGCTTTGTATTTTTTATCCTCGTAAATCCAGGTATCCTTTCTTTTTTCTCCTAACAAGCGATGTTGATTGAAAATTCGACTGATGAATTGTGTTTACTTCGAAGACAACACTGAGCTGTGGAGGCCGAGCGAGCGAACTCGTAAGGGATAAATTTAGTTGTACGTATTTAAGAAAGGCAAATCATATATCTTTAATATAGAGGAAATGAACTTTATATGGAAAACAGCTATCGCATCGGAATGTCTCTTTTTCCAAAACTAACCTCCGACAGACACTCGGACTCGGTTATCTCATTCAGGTTGAAAGTTGAATAATCTTCGTACGGAAAGCAGAGATTTTTCCATTCGAAAAGGTCAGACATTACTAAAAATTCTTCATCGTCAATGAAAGTAGACGTACGGCTTATAAAATAAGATCTTGCATCGTTTTAAAAGACGCCTCTGCGAAAAAACTTTGTTGCGAACGAACATCACAGTTCTACTACTTCTACTTGTTTGTTTACATTCAGTGTCGTCGTCGTCGACCTACCGATCGACTGCATCTTAAGTTTCCTTTTTCCCGCCGAAACTGACGTTCTTGTTCCAGTCCTTTCCCGGTCAACAGACGTCGTCGTCGTGAACTTCGTCGTGGTTCTTAAGTTCCCTAACGGCGACGGCTACGAAAACGTCACTTAAAAAGTGAATTTGCGCTGCCTCAAACTTTACCGTGCTTATTCCGTCTTGTTTAATTCATCAAATGTTAGCAATTTTTTTGGAGTTGAATTCTAAAGGAACTGCAGCAAAGTTCAGGGAGAGAAAATGGAAGTTGTTGTCTTTTGTTCCCGTCCTCGACAAAACGTGAAATTAGGCAGCTTCACGTTGTAGTCGTGCAATGACGGCAGAGAAATGTACAAAAAAGCGTGATGCACATAACATAACATAACATGACATAACATAACAACTTTATTCAAGTGTCGATGTCTTTAACTTATAAAAGCTAATTGGGGACACTAAAATAGTAGGAAAAAACATTATAAAATGAGTTCATTCATGGTATCATAAGGTGAACTTATGATTGTCTAAAATCTAAAATTTATAAACGGTAAAAATTTAAAAGTTAAAAGATTTTAACTTGTCTAAACCTATTGCTTTTTTGCCGTTCTCGTTGCCTTCGTCGTCGTCGTTGCGTAATTAAACTCCCTATTTGACGATGACGACGCCAACGAGAACGGCAAAACATCAATAGGATTAGATTAGTGAAACAACAACTTTGAACGTGCTTCACGCTTTTTTGTAGATTTCTTTGCCGTCACTGCACGATTACGACGTGAAAGTGCCTAATTTCACGTTTTGCGTAGGACGTGAACACAAGACAACGACTTTCCTTTTCTTTTCCGGAACTTTGATACAGTCTTTTAGGCTTCAACTCGAGAAAAAATTGTCAACATTTGATGAATTGAATGAGATGGAATAAGCGCGATCAAAAAAAGCTAAAACATGCTTACCTCGATCCGATGTTAAGTTTCCATCTTCAGTTTGCCTGTTTCTCAGCGAGTTTAGGACACAAAGCGATGTTTAGTCTGGAAGATATTCTTCAAATAGCAGACATCATCTGTCCTTGCTGTGTTTTTTTTAGGCACTAGCTGGGCTAGATCTTTTTTACCGAACGCGTGAAATGTTCCACCATTTTGTACTGCTCTATCTGCTCTATCAAAATAACGCAACCTCGCGCCCAGGGCTTCTCTTGGCTTGAGCCAATCAGAAAAAAGAAAAACACCAATCAATTCTTGCGCCATTTTATTGGTTGTTTCTCGTCGCCTGCAACCTCGGAGACCTAATTGCAGTCTATCGAGCCGGAAGAAGCAAATTTTGACAACTCTCAACCATGTGTAAAAAAAAAAGTCATGCATACATTGCCTTGGGCTCTAAGCTTGCTCATTAGTAGCACAACGACATGTTATTCGAGAGAAACCTCAAACAGAGGAAATGTCTTTTCCTTGGGTTTATTTTACACACATTTAAAACTTATTGTGCGTGAAAGGATAGCGCTTTATGCTTCTGTGTATTATATTTCGTGAAGAAAACTTGGTTTTGAAACAAAATAATGATAAAATAAACAGCCTCTCAAGGCAGATGCTTGCTAGACGGAAAGAAAAGTGATCCAGCTCTTAAAAGATCTCTTAAAAGTATTTTTCATGACTTCACTTAAGCAATGCACGAGTTCTTATCTTAAAATATTAAGCACCTTTCAAGATCTCCGAATACATAAGCCAAGAATATTTTTGGCAAACCCTTCAGGGAAAAGAAATAGTTAGAGAGTTTTTTAGGTGTTATCGTCAGTTTGCGTAATAGTATAGTTAATAACAGTAGTTTTTAGTATAAGTCATTGTGAAGTATTTCTTGCTAAATTGGCGACGTGACAAAGAGCACTTAATACCCGAACCACTTTAACCAATCACCTGGTCCACACTTCATGTTATTAAATAACAGTGACAACTACATTATTTAGGAATAAATGAAAAACTGTTTACAACAGAGAACTGAGCTTTTGGGAATTGTCCTAACTAAGATTGTTTAAGTTCATTCAACACAAGGCACTTTAGAACGGTAAGGTATTTGTCTATATAGCAATGGTGGTTGATGTTTCCATTCGCACTTTTAAAAGCAAATAATATGTAATTCTTGCTGCGTTTACAAAATGTTTCGCGCGGCAAGCAGTCTTGATTGCTACAGCTTTCGTTTTAATGCATAAAGTTCTGATCCCTC